TTGTAACTTCATTACAGGAATATTTAGACCAGCCGTTCGTGCTGCTAAGACGCCAGTAGTATACAGCACGGCAGCTCTGCTTGACATTGACTGCACAAAGACGTCTCTCTCTATCTTATGTGTACGGCCTTGTGTCTTGTATAGCTTCGTATTGTGTTCCGTCTTCTGCAACCTATTTCAAATGCGCAGCCTATCTCCAATAGGAAATATATAAGAAATATATGCAATAGGAAATATATGCAAATAAGTAACTGTTAAGAGCTAATCGTGTAATTAAAAGGTTCATCCATCAACTGTAGATTGAACTGTGACATTGTGGTTCAACAGTGGTTATTATAGGTTATAAAATATGGTTATTATAGGTTGTAAAATATGGTTATTGAAGGTGGTCAACGGTAGGCTGGGTTCTCGGTGGCCGGAAATTGCCCGGGTTATTAATGGCCAATATATGAAAAACAAAAATCGGTGATCAATAAATTGAACAATGTTATCAGAGCTTGATAAATGAAGGCAGGTTGCCCGTCAACAATTAATTAATCCAGGTTATCAGTTGACAATAAATTAATCCAGATTGTCAATTTGCAACAAATGAAGCAATTTCATCAATGAGAAGAGCATTAATCAAAGTTGTCGGCTCGAAATATGTACATTTTTGCAGGTTTTTAATTGATAGTAAATTGACCCTGGCTTCCGTGAACACCAAATATGCATGGTTGTGGCAGCTGTGTGGTTGTGGCAGCTGTGTGGTTGTGGCAGCTGTGTGGTTGTGACAGCTGTGTGGTTGTGGCAGCTGTGTGGTTGTGGCAGCTGTGTGGTTGTGGCAGCTGTGCGGCTGGGCATGAGTATCATAATTGTGCAGCGCTCACGTAAGGTGTATATATGAGGTCCGTGAACACATATGAGTTGTACGTGAACCTGTCCTAAAATGAGTGTGCATGTGGCAGCTATTTGAACAATGTAACTTCCCGGTAAACATTTTGCTTTCACAGAAAGAACATGGTTTTCTACTTGAAATGTTGGACTTCCAGATGGGTACTACGTCAACAGTTTGATTTGTCGCTAAGAGTTCACATCAAAGTAAACAGTATGTCTTCTTGAATATTTATGCTTTACCAAGTAAAGTTTGACTTGGCTGTGAACATGTCTTCTAGACGCGAATGTCAATGGGGATGTTGAGCAGGACTTCGATCCGCTGAATAACGTACAAGAAATCATTTCACAAATGGTATAATATATCTACAGTTATAAAATATGTAGAATGTCTTCAAACAAAGCTATTTTGTTGTTTTTGCCAACGAAGACATTCGCTGCGTCCGTTCCTCGCTTCCTGTCGCTGACCTCATCGACGGCAACCCTCAGTCTTATCAATGTGCAGCGGCATGAATGTGCATTGACATGAATGTACTGTGGCATGAATGTACAGCGGCATGAATGTGCATTGACATGAATGTACTGTGGCATGAATGTGCAGCGGCATGAATGTGCAGCGGCATGAATGTGCATTGACATGAATGTGCATTGACATGAATGTACTGTGGCATGAATGTACAGTGGCATTAATTTGCAGTGATTGTAGAGCATGCAGTGGTGTGAATGTGCAGTTTTTACAGTTCGGAATACCATGCATGGCTCTGGAATGAGCAAATGCGAATGAACAAACCATCGAATCAATTTCCATTTGAATGACTTTGCCTGATATGGATAACTGATTGCCTGAATTTGCCTGATATGGATGTTCAATGTTTTTGTGTACATGAACCTCATTATCACAATTAATGTTTATGTTTTACGTGATGTTGAAGCATGCCTACCCGCTGCATTATTCAACACTCGTTGTGTTTGTTGGCGCCCACGTTGGTATGGCGACCACAAGCTGCGTCGTGGCATACAGCGCCTGCCGCGTGTCTTGAAAGGAAAACTGCAAGCTGTTACGATGGTCGTGTGTTGCAGTATTGATCGTGTGTTGCAGTATTGGTCGTATGTTGCAGTATTGGTCGTATGTTGCAGTATTGGTCGTATGTTGCAGTATTGGTCGTATGTTGCAGTAGTGATCGTGTGTTGTAGTATTGGTCGTATGTTGCAGTAGTGATCGTATGTTGCAGTAGTGATCGTATGTTGCAGTAGTGATCGTGTGTTGTAGTATTGGTCGTATGTTGCAAAATTGGTCGTATGTTGCAGTATTGGTCGTATGTTGCAGTATTGGTCGTATGTTGCAGTATTGGTCGTATGTTGCAGTATTGGTCGTATGTTGCAGTAGTGATCGTATGTTGCAGTATTGCTCGTATTTTACAGTATTGATCTATATTGTATTATTGACTTATGTTGCAGTATTGATCGTATGTTGCTATGACGGTCTCATGTCGCTACCATGATCTCATGTTCGCGGCGTCCCGCGTCTGCTCTTCACAGGTTAAGAATAACGTCGCGTACCGGTATATGCGATGAATGATTGATACATCGGTGATGCAAAATATTTGTAGAATCGATTAGCATTTTCGATTATCACTTGATTAGCAATCGATTATCACTTGATATAAATAATATATCAGTTGATAGAAATAGAGGTGATCGAAAATTGCTTGCCAATTACCGCTACACATTTGAAAATTGGATTACCAATTATTCTCTGTAATCTTAATAATTGCCGTTATTTCCCGTCAATAAAATATGGAAGCCACCATGCTAAAAAAGAACGCCATAAAACTGTCTAACCGTCATTTCAGTGCCCGGTGTTTCCGATTGTATGTAAACGTTAAATGAAACACCGTGTCGCCGTTTTTTCCGATTGTATCCGAATAAACCCGTACGTCATATTTGGAAAAAACGGCGAAACTATTTATTTCCACGGAACGGCTGGCAACCAAAATGCTTTTTAGACCGCTTTTCACCGTTATTTCGTACAGTGCTGCGGTATAGTAACTAACTATGCTAACACGAAAATTTTTGGATTATGATCAACCTCCTCCGCCAATCAAATAATAAAATATATTAATTTAAAAAAATAAATAATAATAATTGAATTAATTTCTGCACGACGTCTTCCTAGTAATTATTCTTCTCGCTTCTACATTCGTTAACATATATTAACTCTACTTAAAAACGTTCAAATTAACTTGTAAAATTTACATTATTATTATAAATTTTGTTTAGAAATCGTACAATAATTTGTGCAGTATGATTAGTCTGATATTCCAGCAGCACTTCAACTAAATCAGGCATCGACATATTCATTGACATCTATGTTTAAATATTTAACAAAAATTATTTAATAAATTTGTATCTTAGCTTACTTAACATTTCTCGATTGAATTTTAAAAATTTGATTTAAACTCCTTTGAATTTTGGTTTCTACACAGTTAAGATCAGTGCTACAGCTGCGTGTTTGCTGCAGCTGCGTGTTTGCTGCAGCTGCGTGTTTGCTACAGCTGCGTGTTTGCTGCAGCTGCGTGTTTGCTACAGCTGCGTGTTTGCTGCAGGTGAGTGTCTGCAAGCAGATGCACGTTACTCTAAACATTATACAGATATCGTCACGACTTTATAAGCAGTCTCGTGTTCTCTTCATAACATCATCGCAGATATCGCATGTTCCGTGGGAAGCTCTTAGCGCAACTGAGAACTTCTTGCATAGCTGTAAACATGATGCGGATGCGAGTCATAATTATTTCAGTAATAATTGTAATAGTAGGTACTTATAATTGTAATACGTGTTCCGTGGGAAGCTCTTATAGTGCAATCTGTTAATGTCTCACATGGCAGTGAACATGAGATATGGCTTTGATATAATAGTTTTTACAATTCATTATTGTAAAAGACTCAATTCCTTATTAATCCATCAAACAGTCGTATAACTCCAAATCATAAAAAATGTAAAACAAAATTAGGCTTTTTGTCTAGTTGTACTTTAAATTTCATTTTCACCTAATGCTGCTATTAGAGGACTGCAATACACGTAACACAATGTATAGTATTCGTACATAAATCCCCTGCATTTTACATTTACAAAACTTTTGAGCCTAGAAAGACATCGTGTTAAAAATGCCCCACACTTACAAAGAAACTGCGTTTATTGAACATTTCGCACCGAAAAATTAATTGTGTTAATATCTCGATCTCGCACTTTATAAGCATTTCGTTGATTAAATCGTTTACGGGAAGCAAAAGGTTTGTCATTTTATTCCTGAAATTTTAAAGCATTTATTCAGCTTTTAGCTCATATAATACATCAATTTAACAATACTTCTCCCTTAATAAATCCTTGTGTTTATTAAACCTTTTATGCCGAGAAATAAATCTTGTTAACAATATTTCTTAATGATAATAACACTGCGTTTATTGAACCTACTACAAATCATAGAAATACATCGCATTAGCAATGCTTCACACTGCATAAATGTGTGTATAGAGCCATTAGCCCTAACAAATACATCGTATTAACAATACTTCACATCACATAAACACTGCTTGTATTGAGCCTTCAGCCCCAGAAATACATCATACCGACACGACAGTTAGTGAGAGGCGTTGTTGTAGATCATATCTCAGCCCAGCGTCCGGTTACGTCACAGAAGCTCGGGGACTTGCTTTAAGAAAGTCTAGGCGTTGCCTGTGTCTCGTGTGACTTCTGAGCTCGGTGAGAACATTCAGCTCTCGAATGTCAACTGTACCACTTTAATCCATCTCTGTGTGAGAACATTCAGCTCTCGAATGTCAGCTGTGCCACTGAATGTCAGCGGTACCATTCAAATTTAACTCTGTAGGGAACCCTCTCTTGAATCCAACTCGGTATAAAAAAAATTCATCTAGGAGTAATAATGCATCTAAAGCTCGTTGTTAACTTGAGAGAAAATTGAACTCAATTATGTGGGATTTGCTGTCACCATTTTATAAACTGTATCACCACGACTCAATATTTCTACATATTTCATCAAGGAGACATATTTGTTATCCTCTATTTTATGCATTTACTGTTATCTTAAATAACCTGTTTGTTGTTTTCGCAGGGCCAAGTCCGGCGTGGACGGCGGAAACGGTAATTGCATCCAGGACACGTCCATCCACGCCTCCCGACATGAAGAAAGACTTGGGAAGGTACGAGGATGTGTTTTTTCCTTACATTTTCACTACTTTTATTACTAATTTTTGAGTTTAATTTACTTGATCAGGATTTTATTTTGAATCTTTTCAGGAAATTAAGACCGATCCGCATTTAGTTAAATCGTAAAAATTAACTTTCTGAGTTAACTCCGTTCAAAAATCATTATTACGTAACCCAAACTATTCCAGCCTAATCCAATTTATCGTAATTTGACATTAATGTGAACGAATTAATTTTTCGTAGGAAAGTATGATTATGTAGGGAAGTGACAATTTTTGTTGTTTGACTAATCAGTAATCTAATTAGAAATGAAACCCAAGAGAAATTGGAAAAAAATCATTCTTAATGCACTCAACTCTTTGATTCATTTATAATCGAAATTGTAGTCGAGTTTTTTGGAAAGAACGCCAAAATCTGCGCACTTTCGAAGTTACTGACGAGAACGACCGAATTTCTACCGGGTTATAATATTTTTCTTTTTCGGATGTTTATTCTGTGATTCACAAAACCTAAATAACTTGGTAAGCATTTATAATGTTGTCACTTATCCTGCTAACTTCTCACAAATCAATAAGTTCAGTATATAGTTCATTGGATTCATTTGTGTGGAATTTTTGTGATGTTTGGTATGTTATACTGCAAATGTTCGATTACGAAGCATTTCTCTAATTAAATATTCAGCTTTGTATCTAAAGCCAAAGTTTATTGTAGTTACACTGACAAATCGGTACATTTTCTTCTTCAAAGAAAATATATATTGATTAGAAAACAACCGAGAGAAAAGTGATTTTAGAGGGTGTACAGATGAATAGTGGTATATATCTTCAATTCTATTCAATCTTTTATAGTTTTATTTTCTCTTTCAAACATGGGGGCGTAAACATTAAATCAAATTACGTTTATGTTTCAATAAAAAATAATTCAAAATTTTCCTGCTTATACTCAATTTTCTTTCAAAATCTAAGGTTTGGCTTACGATTTGGTTTATATGCTTTGTAGTAGAAATCTGTTTAGCTTAGAATTATATATACACAGATACAACGTATTTACCTCTAATTCTATCTAATATATTCTACTTTCTATCTTATCACTAAGCGCCGTTTAGTCATTCCAAAATTTACTTCTTCCTCGAAAAATTATTTCCGAAAAAGATTATCCATCGACAATCCGACTCATATCTACACGAAACTGAATAATTTTTTCCGCTACTCAGTGTGAAAGCAATGTAAATCTTATTGCGGTTAAATGATTTAAAAGAATTACGAAAATCTTTCCTTACCATACGTACGATTTGTCTACAGAGGGAAGCGCCGCACGATCTATTCGACCTCATCCGCAAAGTGCAAGATTCGCGGATCGACGATCAGCGATGCGAGCTTCCGAACTTCTTCACCCAAGCGACGCGCGCTGTGAGTAAATTCATTACCTTCAGGCTTCTTATTTCAGTTTCTAGGAAGTTATTAAAACGTATTTGGCCGTGAGTATGAAGGCATTGCCGGTGCTAATGAAGTTATTGGAGCTGCTATATGAAGACTTTGCAGCTTTTTCCTTTAATCTTTTAGCGATTCTACTTATCTTTAAAATTCTGGTATTTTATTTTTGAATGATATTTCTTAGTATTTCATAGTACACTTATGTATATCATTATGTTTGCCTATTAAGCAAAGTAAGCAAGAATTTAAATGCCAAGAAAATGTCAAGCAAATTCGCCATAATTTCAAGAAAGACTTTACGGAGACCAGCGCTGTCACCAATTAAAAATATGCTCTTTTCTTCAAGTGATAACGAATTTTTGAACAGATGATGGGGCTTTGTTTTCGGAAAGTATTCAATGAAAATTGGTCGAATTTACGTGATATTTTCTTTTTTTAATTCGTGTTATCGTCTGAGTGTACCAATCCAACGACGTTGCAAGGATTAATCCGAGCCAAAATACTGAAAAGCCGTTCAAGCGAATTAAATTGGTTGCGTTACAAGTCGTGTGTTTGAGGGAATGGTGGAATGATGGTATTGGCTAAAACAAAGTTGATTAGTTCTATTTCAATCTATAATACTACCAACGTATTGTTTGTTCTAAGATCATTTTCGTACCGCTGTTGTTTATGCTCACTTGCGAAACAAATTGAAAAAATCGTACTCTCCATCGCAATTTTGTGCATGTTTTCTTTCGTGCGTGGCAGTCTGTGTTGTACAATGCGAGAAGACAGAACAGGAAACCAAATTGCCTATTTTCTATTCCGCATTTCTTTCGGTAATTGACTTTTTGTACCAAATTATCCGCTTTTTGACTCGAGCGAGGCCGCCAATATCTCCTCGGGCCAAGGAGAAACAGAAATAACTAAGCTCATGGAAATTCAATTCTGTTTTAGACTCAATTTTAGGTGCGCTCTGGAATATTCATGATGTAGCCGCGCCTCATGCGTCACTAATTTCTGTACCGCGATTTTCCTTTTCTTTTTTTACGTTCATCCAAACGGTTATTCTTCATATTTCTTCTGCTAAATTTGTACTCATTTTTTCATTAATGTTTTTATCTTTAGATTTTACTAGCATTTTCATTTAAAGAAGAAGCCTGTTCACCTGATCATCCGATACTCGTCACTTTCATTCTGTCTGTCGTGAAGCACTTTGCACTTCACTGTTGGTGAACCATCTGTAGCCTTATTTATTGCGACATTTAAATTTGTGTTGTGATGTGATATTTGTGAATTGTAATTATTTTGTTAGGAATAACCAGGATTATGCATTATAGCCGCATCTTCTTAAGTTTATTACTTTTGTTTGCAGAATCATATTAGTTCACTACCACGAACCATAGATTCAGTGCGTGCCATTCACTGGGTCTATTTTGGGTTTTTGTTCACCGGTGCCTTCGTTTCCAATAAAGTGTCAGAAATACCAAGTTCACTTCCCTGCACGTTAAAAGTTTGGTTGAACGCTGACGTAAGAGTTTTCGAAAGTCACAGTTGCGCTTACAATAATTAAGGCTAAATTATGTTGAATTCCCACGATCTTTTATTGCTAAATTTTTGTACAATAACTTTCAAACGACATTTCAAAGAAAAATGTATGACCAGCATTGTGTTTGTTGCTATACAGAATAATCCGCACTGTATTGATTATTACACGTAACCGATTACTCCCTTCCTCCTCTTATACCACGTAACCGATTACCCCTTCCTCCTCTTATACCACGTAACCGATTACTCCCTTCCTCCCCTTATACCATGCACGTAACCGATTACTCCCTTCCTCTTCTTATTCTACATAGATAGATACATTTCCTTTTTTTACGTGAACGTAAATGTGTTTTTTTCCGGTGAGTTTTTTATTGGCCGTGGGCGCGTCTCGTTGACGCAGTTAAGGTTGGCACTTTGCATGCGTTATTGAATCACCGACGCGGCCTTCGCAGTGACGACTTCGCGCGCCCGAGACCTTCGACTTCTGAGCCTTCGCTAAATTAGATGAACTCTAAGGTCAAGTTGTAAACATGCCACTTCAACTTGAAGGCTAAATGCAGTCATATATTAGCAGCATGCCGATAAAATATGACAATATTTTATTTGTATGTTGAATGCTTAGATCTCCAACTGAAATATTTTCAACGTGTCAAGTGTAATAATACTGATTGAGGCCTGATTTAATTTTTAAGTAGGTGCAATTAACTTAATGAGTGAAACGGTGAAAATGCATGATTTGAATAAATACTCGTATGTTGAATAATTCAATTTGATAACAATTACATCCATGTTTGATTGGTTCATATTTATACCTGAATTATTTCTAGACTGTTTGCATTGATGGTTTTGTTTGGGCATTGCCGTATTCGATCGTATGCAATAGACATGAATGTTTCTGCGTGAAATTCGCAATTTATCACTTAATCTAACTTGGCTAGCAATTTATCGAACAGAAATTGAAATTTCAATGATTTTATTCCTATTAATATTGTTATTTTTTAATTCACCTGTGTTGCAAGCGAGGCTTGGGATTTATTTTCAGAACTTTTTTTAAATCAGCGTTTATGTGTGAATTATATTTTGAACTTGAAGCTGATTAATGCTCAAATATTGATTATTCGTAAAGTAATGTGCGTGTCATCACAAGCTGTAATAATTTTATTGTTTTATTCACTACACTACTTAATATTTATACTCACTACCCAAGTTTTAGATTTTGAGAACGTCTTCGAAAAATGCTCAATGAATTTTGGTCAAATACTTCATTAAAGCGAGCGTAAACTGAGATTCTGAAAACAAGTTTTCGAATTGTTGATATAAATTCAGAAACCACCTTTAGAAGAAGCTTCTTGTTGTGGTGCTAACTACGGAAAATTGCGAAATTCTGCTCCGAGTTGAACAATGCTTGAAATTTTCTACTAAGCTTGAATCTATAGCAATTGTTCTTCATGAAATCATTGTTTATATTTATGCATAAACTGATTTTGCTATTTTTTTCGGTGTTGAATTGTTTTTTTTTTCAAATGACATGCTTAAATTCTATTAATTATCAAGCTATGATTATCTCTTTGGTTTCATCTATCGCTGTGCGAAGCCGACGCGTTTAGGTATGCCTGTAAATAATTTATTTATTATCCCGAATAATTTCAAGAATAATATAACAATGTTTTCGTTAGCTGCATTTTAATGTTTCACTGATTTTAAACATCTTAATATTACTGCAATTCACAATATAACATTAACTAAAACGGTTTATATAAAATAATAAATATACGTATATCTATTATACTAATAACAGCTATATCAAAAAAAAAAAAGGATTCACCGTCACAACTCACCGACTGCATCATACCCATGACCTCATTCATAAATTCACTAAACAAGTTGCAAAATTTGTCCAACAAATTCTCAGCCTTGCCGAGCATCATACGGTATCCTGGATACGGCCACGTGAGTTCCTTGCCTTACTGACCTCGGACGCAAATGGCTGTGAGTGGGGTGATGGGTGAGTGCAGTGGGTGCAGGTGTGATGTGTGGGGTGATGGGTGCAGGTGTGACGTGTGGGGTGATGGGTGCAGGTGTGACGTGTGGGGTGATGGGTGAGTGCAGTGAGTGCAGGTGTGATATGTGGGGTGATGGGTGAGTGCAGTGGGTGCAGGTGTGGCGTGTGACCTAGACGTAGTGTGACCTTAGTGCGTGTGACCTAGACTTCGAGAGGTTACAGGATGACTTGTTCACAATCTACAATTGGGCTCTAGTGAATAATATGCAATTCAACGGCACTAAGTTCGATGTAATGAGATACAGAGTCGGCACAGAGACAGGGATGCCACATTGCTACTTTGCATCGGATAGCACATGTAGATTGACGAGAAGAAACTTGTTCGAGATCTCGCAGTGTTGGTGAGTAGTACCAAAGCCACATTCGATGACCCCATCGAGGAAATAGTCGCGCGAAGCAGATAACGGATGGGTTGGATCTGGCGGAGATTTCGAAGGAGAGAAGCAGCACCAATGATTTCACTCTTCAGAGCCCTCGTACTCTCCAATCTTGAGTACTGCTGCCAGCTTTGGGCGTCGCTCAAGGCGGGTGCGGTGCGGAAACTTTAGTCAACCCAGCGGACCTTCACGTTCAGGATCAGCGGTATTAGGGAACTGGAGCTAAATTACTAGGACTGAACTCACTGGAGATGAAAGGAGAAAGGTACATCATATTGAACAATTGGAAGATTATAACAGGACTGGCTGCCAACTTTGAAAGTGAGATCTCTAAAATAGTGACATATTACAACGAAAGTAAGAGGAAAACTGTGCAGGATTCCCCCATTTAACAACCGATCCGCGGCCAGAGTACATACTCTTCGTGAGGGATCACTCACTGTCTGTGGCAGGGCTGAGATTAATTGTTTAATGCCTTGCCAAAAGTGCGGAGAGGAGGGGAGTTCACACTTGCAACATTCAAGAGACGACTGGACAATTGGTTGAGAAAGATCCCAGATTGTCCAGTTATGGGAAACTACCCTCAGCAAGTGACAAGCAACAGTATCCTACATCAGCTGGCCCAAAGGAGGGCAAATATACGGAACACGCCCAACGTTACATCCGGGACCCGGGGGCGGGGTGACCTGCCTATCGACTACTTGGAGACGGAGGACGACGAAGGCGGCGTATCAGCGTGATCGGGGACTAGGAAGTCCTAAACTCATCATAAAGTGATGAAATGTGGGGTGATGGTGAGTGCAGTGGTTGCATGTGTGATGTGTGATGTGATGGGTAAGTGCAGTTGGTGCAGGTGTGAGGTGTGGGGTGATGGGTAAGCGCAGTGGGTGCAGGTGTGAGGTGTGGGGTGATGGTTAAGTGCAGTGGGTACAGGTGTGACGTGTGGTGTGATGGGCGAGTGCGGTGGATGCATTCATGCCTTAATTATGAAAAGATGGCAGAGGTCAATA